TTAAGAATGTGATTAAGAATGGCAGTGTATTGTACAGAATTTTTGCAAGATAAGGAAAATGTAGCCTCGTATCCCTTAAATGAGTGCATTCTCAGTCGAGAGTGCTTGACTGTAGTTATAAAGAGAGTTACCCACAATAGTTAGTGTGGAAAGGAAACCCTAAGTAGAACATGCCATTGTGGCCTTTGAGCGGTTCCCATCTCTTCTATTCAGAGAGCAGAGTTAACTGAGGATAGCGAGAACAAACTGTACATGCGCTTGAGAAAAAGAACTTGACTTGGCAAGTTGGCATAAGTGTAGCACAATATATTACACTTTCTGCTGGGCTCATTCTCTTACTGTCATTGACCAGATCTGTTCAACGGTTGCCATTTTCGGTTTCGAGTAGAAGAAACCCCAATTTTTCCTCCTTACTTTCCAAGAAAGTCTGTTTATGTAATCAATACTGGGTCTTTCTAGGAAGCTGTTCAGAATTTTTTGGGGTCAGTGGGGGCACAACGAAGGAACAAACATTAGGTCTGACAAAGCTTGAAATATAAAACAAAAAAGCATCTGTGAGGCATAATAAAACAAAGTGTGTATACGTGTTGTTCTCACAGAGTATTTGGCTGAGCCTGGGCAACGGGAAAGCATGCATAGCTAACACTCCTGACTGTGTGAAACCCTTTGTATACTCCAGAGTCTCTGCAAGAGACCTTGATTACAGAGTTTGGCATCATACCCAATACATTTTTTTGGAATAGTTTCTTGTCCATCACTAACACTTGTAATGAGAAATGTATACACCATCCAGAGAGGATAAATTAATTTCAGACACTTTAGACTCAGGTCAACAATGGCTACTGGCAGTGCCTACTGTTTGCCTTTTTATTAATAAAAAAACCCAGGAACAACAAGAAGAAATTGCTCTTCTTCATGGTGATAGCATGGTAAAGACCCTGGGTATAGTGGAGATAGAATCTTGGCAAACACATAAATAGGTCAGGATAAAATATTTCACTTTTCATTGCAAATTAAAGTAATTTTCTACAATATGTAAGGTTTAATATATCCCCATAATGGTTTCATTAGGAAATCTGTATTTTAGCTAATGAAAGGTTTTTCTGAAAATAAAACAGTCGGTAAAGATAAGTTAGTTTTTATTTTTATATAATTCAGTTAACAGTCAAGGACTGAACTATGAACTGGCCTCACCATGTTGAGAACTAAATGAAAAACACATTTGATCAACTTAGCTATCTTACATTACTTCTAGATTGCCCTCCCATGCCCCAAAAAGCAAAACCAACCAACCAATCAAACAAAAACACCCCACTTCCCTTCTAAACTATTTCTCCTGTAGTCTTGGAAACAAAAGAGGGAGAAACTGCTGTTATTTTCTTGGGGGATACCACAGTGATGGGGGCTTTAGGACTTAGATCAGTGATACTCAGACAGTGGCTCTTGACCTGCAAGTGTCTCTTTAATGTGTCTCCTGCAGCTCTTTGCAGCACATGATATTAAAACACTGTGTGATTTAATTATTAACCAATCTAAGTTAATAACCAATCAGGATGCTTTTACTGTTATTAACCAATTAAGTTATGAAATTAATAAATTATGAATTTATTTGCTGTGAGAATAATATGTATATAAACTAAATATTTCCCCTGTCATTCACACTATTGTGGCTTTTTGGGTAATGTTGATCACTAATTTGGCTCCTGAACCACTGCAGACTGAGTATCACTGACCTAGATAAATTACTAAGCCATAATTCTCACATGGGTAAATTCCCTTCATTTGCAATCTGGATTGGCTAATTTGTTACATTCTCTCACTGGACATAAGAGGGCATGTTTTTCATCTGAACTTTGGACTAACATTTGTGTGCATTTTGTGTTGCGTGTGTGCAAGACAGATAATTGCACACATAAAAACCTGTTTGTGTGCAGTCACCCATATGCAAGATTTGTGTGCCAACTTTCTAGACATAATTAGGGAGCCTGATGATAAATGAGATCTTAGATGTTCTGGATTGTGCAGAAGTGGCAAACAAATACGCATAATAAACCTTAAAAATGAAATAAATATGCTAGTAAATAGGATGTATTTTAAAGTAATATACAATATGCACATGATCTGAAACTACTGAGGTCAATGGGAGCTTTTTTAATTGACTTCATTGGACACAGAATCAGGCCCTGCATGCACATACTGTAGCTCACGAAAGTTTATGCTCAAATAAATTTGTTAGTCTCTAAGGTGCCACAAGTACTCCTTTTCTTTTTGCGAATACAGACTAACACGGCTGCTACTCTGAAACTTTTATATTAGTTATACTTAGATTGTAAGTTCCTTTGGGCAGAGACTGTCTTTTTGTTTTGTGTTTATACAGCCCCTAGCACAATGGGGTCTTAGTCTATGGTGGGGTCCCTGAGTGCTATTGTCATATAAATAATAATAATTATATCTTTAATTGGCTGAAACACAGTCATGGATTTAACACTATTGCCCTCATGGCTGTTCGATAGATTTTGGCTAGGAATTGGCTAAATATGGCCATGTGACAGTGAGTTGGCCAATTAAATTGTTTATCGTTTTGATCCCTTCTTCCTTGATAGGCTACTTCCTCCATGCTCTTTCTGTTCAGTACTGCCTTTCAGCTACTTCATTTAAAAAAAAAGTTCTTAATGTGGCCGATTCCCCTTTTATCTCCCTTGTTCTTTACCTGTGTCCTCCATGCAAACAGGATTGCTTTGACTGAAGTAGCTGCTGGCTGCCTTTGGGGCTCAAATGCACTGAGTGATTCTTTGCACAGCTGTTACAGTGGTTAAGAAGTTAATGGCAGCTGAACTATGCATCTGGGATACTGTGCTGCTGGATCCTGACGGTTCCTACTGGTACACGTCAATGGAGAATCATATGAAAATCCATTACTAAAGAAAAACCAGAGTAGGTTTACATATCCTACAAGAGATCAGGGTAGATGATTTAAATGCCCATTCTTTTTGGCCTTAAAATCTATGAAAGGAATGCCTCTAGACTTTTCAGCAGAAGAGGCGAATAATTTTCACACTATAATGCTCCACTTGAGAGTGCTTGTACCTTCGTAATATAGTGTTATATGTACTTTACAGACATAGAAAGGGTAAGGCCTTGCCCAAAACTGCTTGAGATTCAGTGTGGATAAGGCATGATACAAGACAGCAGTTCAGGCTAATGAGAATGAGAGATTCGTGGTGAGTTGACAGCAGGAAGGATTCCTGGAAGATGTGGATTTTAAAGGGGGGCATAGAGCAGCGGAAAGAGAGTGATTGGTGAGTGACAAGTAGGAAGTTGGTCCAAGTATAGTAGGAAGTAATGAAGGTACTGTGACGCAGGGACCCCTTGGTGCCAACTGGCAGAGGGAATAGGGTGGCACATAGGGTTTTACAGGGATCCCATGGATCAGATATACGCATACTAGTTCACTGAAGGATGGCATGTGAGATCTCTACCAAGAACTAGTAGGCCACTGGCGATCATAATCATTACAAAATGTATCTATGGACAGTATTTAAGGAGTTATGTATCTATATTGACAGTTATGTTCTTAAGGAATTAAAGTTAAAGCAGGTCACCAGATGATGTGCCTTGGACATATTTATTTCAGGCACGAAAACAGATGCTTATCTCCATGTCTGGCCATGTGTGGGAGTTGCTCGAACGTGAATGCTCTTCCAGTGACCTGGTGAAGTATAATGATTGGGCAACCACATGTGCGTGGCTGTGGTGGGAATCAGTATGAGGACACAACAAGAAGTCATCATGTGTTTATAGTATGCCTCACAATGTAGCTCTATTTGCATACTGAACCATAGGCAAAAGACAAGCAAAATCTACAAGAGAGGCAATTCACAGAATAAAACAAACAGGGTGTCCTGTTTATGTCTAAAGACACAGGATTTTTAGAGTATCTCCAGGGATACAAGGAAACATACAGAATCCTTCACCAAGAAGGCAAGTTAACAGCATGTTTGTCTTATGCAAGGACTTATGCTGTAAAATGCTGCAAGGATATTGGGTGAGCAATATTTTACAAGACATGAGAGTGTCTTGATAAGCAAGTCTAGGCTTTAGATTGTGTGCAATGATTTTATTTTGTAAGTATCCATTTGTTTCCAATACCTCTATTGCTATTACTTGAATATCTATGCTTTGTTAAACAAATTTATACTTGATTTCACTATAAACACATCTAATTGCTGTGTGTTAAGTGCAGCGGTGATCTGATGTGGACGTGGTAAGCTGGGGTGTACTGCTTCTTTAGAGGCAGTGAATTTTTGAACCCTGGGAGTATCCAGTGGAACAGGGGCTAGATACTGACCTGTAGAGAGAAAGTGAGGCCTATGAGGGAGTGCTTATGTTGCCTGTGGCTAGTGGAATTGGAGAGCTGACCCCTGGCAGGCACAGACAAGGTTTCCTCACACTAAGGGCAGGTGGTAGCAAGGTGCCTCACAGCCTGGGAACCCATGGGAAGTGTCACAGGTATGAAGCCACAAAATTGAGGCAATAAAGAGAACAGTAAGTAGAGAGGACTGTAGGAGGAACTTAAGGCAGAGCCAGAGGCTGCAAGGAGTGTCTATCGATTTTGTAGTTACTTCCTTCTCTATAGCAGGAATGTGCCTGCATAATCTTCCATCTGAAATTGAAGAAATATTTGCAGAACTAGCCTCATCCTCTTTCTCTACCTTCACGGTGAAAGAAGTACAAAGGAGAGAATTGAAAGGGTGGGTAGTTCTTTCCTCTCTCTTCTGCTGGTTACATAGCACCCAAGGAAGCCTCATGTTTAGTAGGCTGTGGACTGGAATGCTGGGGCCCAAAGGTTTCATAACTGCTGCGCTATTAGGAGTGCTGTTGGCTGAAATGTACAGCCCAGCAGTTGCTAGGAGAGTTGCCAGTGTTGGGGGAGCTGTCAGCTGGATGCTGAGGCCTGAAGTTGCCATGACAATTGCAGATGCCAGGAGAGCTGTTGGCTGGAGCGCTGGGCCCTGGAGGTTCTGTGGCAGTTGGGGGCATTAAGGGAGCTGTTGGCTGGAATGTTGGGCCCTGGAGTTTCTGCAACAGGAGGGCAGCTCATCTTAGAGGGGCGAGATGTCTGAGGAAGGGGATGAAGACATGCCAAAGCTGAGCTCCATCACCATCACTGGATGCAGTATTCCAGGTGAGGGTGTACCAAAGATGCCACTGTAATACGTTCAGTGTTGTTCTATCCCATTCTTTATTCATGCTAATGTTTTGTTTGCTTTTTTTAACTGCTGCTGAGCATCCTATTGTCTGGGGCCACTAAGGCCTGGAGAAGGAAAACATTCTGGCTGGGGGAAAGCATAGGCCAGAGCATCTCTAACCCCGCACCAAAGTAGCTCTGTGAACGGATAAGCGCAGGCTGTTCTGGAAGATCCAGTGTCTTTAGATATCTTCAGCTGAACCCATTTCCTGGCAAATACCTTGCTGAAGAGGTTCATCTGCTGCTTTTCTGCTGCAATCCTGGAGTTGCAAGCTACACATTTGCTTACCATGGGGCTTCATACTGGAGCTCATTGAGGATTTTTCAGTGAAGCATTTTTTTGTTGGAAAATCAATTTGTCAAAATGGAAACGGTTTGTGGAAATGTATCTGTTTCAGTGACATTTTTACTGGTAAGGTTTCTCAGGTTTAGGATAGAATTTCTGGTCAAAACAAGACAGCTTGCCCTCTCCAGAATAGTCGATAGCCCAGTGGTTAGGATGCTCATTTGGGCTGTGACAGACCCAGCTTCAATTCGTGCTCTAAATCAGGCAGAGCCAGGTGAGTGCCCTAATCACTGGGCTATAGAGTCAGTCTCTCCCAGTGTTTCTGTTGGAGCTATTCTGCTTTGTAGAGACTGATTTTATAGCCTGATGCTTAAGGCACTTACTGGGGAAGAAGGAGATACTGGTTCAAGTTCTTGCTCTGAATCAGGCAGAGCAGAGATTTGAACCTGGGTCTCCTGCTTCACAGGTTACTGCCCCAACCCATTGGCTATGCAGGGGGCTGAGTTGTTTGGTCTTTTGTGAAAAATGTCAAAAAGTCTAGTTTTTGTTCCAAAACCAAATGTCAAAATATTGACTTTTTTCACTAAATGGAATTTTTGTTTTCCAGCCAGCCCTACTTTTTATCTTCAGTTAGTTCAGGTAATAAGGTAAGGTCATGCGTATCTGGATTTAGCACTCTGTAAAGTATGGTTCAGTAAAAATATGATTACCATTTCATTAAAGTTTTCCCCAGGGTTCAGGGAAGAGGAAATTATTATCTTGTAATTGGTACCTCTCTGGGGCATTGCACTTATGAAATTGTTATATATGATGGGACAATCTAGTTGCACTGAACAGATTATCTGATGATTAGTACTTCTGGGATTTATGGATAATTGCATATGATGAATGTCAAAATCTTTCTGAACTGAGAGTGGAGGAATTCATTTCAACTGCTCTCATTCATTTATTCTTTAATGACAGCTAGCATACTAATTAGGTTTTCATTGAGAATTTCTAGGCGTAGAAAACTCTTGGAAATCTCTCTAATCTTGCAGTGTGGATTTGTGGAGATTTCTACCCGTCGTTTCAACTGGAAGGGAATTATTCCCTTCCTGTCCTAATATCCTGGTTCTGCTGTTCACTGTTAATAAAGCAGCCATGTTCCTTCCTCAGAGGTGACTGCATTTCAGTGGTAAGACAAATGGGCCTCAGCTGCATTGTTCAGATCCAAACTTTTCCAGTGTCCCTGGCTGTTTTAATCAAGACCTTCTCCATTACCTACTTTATAAAATATTTTGCGATGAAAGGCTCGCTCTACATGTAAGTTATTCTTTTAGTATTGGGCATTTATGTATACAGAATAAAAAAGAGTGACATATAGTAACTAAGAGCCAGATTCAACCCTGGTGTAAGCAGGTGCAATACCATTATCTTCAGCAGAGTAGCACGATGACGAAAACTGGCCCAAAGTCTCTGGTATACAAGGAAACAAAAGTACTATACTTTAAAAAACTAATTTCCTGAATGTAGGAAAGCTACTTACAGCAACAGTATTTCCTTAGTAAAACTCAACTGGATCAAATAAATGGGGATGGGGGATGGGACAGAAAGGAGAGCTGATAATATATTTCTGTCACTGAAAAGAAAACCGGAACTGCTAGCTTGTTATAATTACATAACAGATGATGTATTGTACAGCTTGTACCCTCGCTCCCAGAGTAGAGGTGGGCAAGCCAAAGGAGGCTTGAGCCTGGCTCGAGCTGAGTGGCTGACTCTGGCCTGGCTCCATGTCCATGAATAAAGACAAGTTAAGGAAGAGCCAAGCCAATGAGAATATGTTGGCATCATCATACGCCCTGTTCACAGTAACTAGATTGTTATATATAAAACAAACCCCCCCAGAAGACTGTATTCTGGCTTCTCTTGTACTAGTACATAAGTATGAGGGAGAAGCCATGGGAGATATTTTTGCTCATCTTATTCTCCATGTGCAGAGGGCAGCCAGTGCCCTGCACTCCCTGAGTGAGAAGGGTGGGGTATCATTGCACCACCAACAGCACAAGACATAACCCACTTCCACTTTGGTCAGCACTCCAAGGCTAGTGCTGCTTATTAAACCTTTTTACAGGCTGCAGCAGTTGGTGACCCTGCATGAACTTGCTTCGCACACAAGCAGGCATTCTGCCTACAGTGCCTCAGTCTTCTACAATTACATTCTCTCCATGAATTGCTGCTGATGCAACTATGGCTAAGAAATGGTACAGAGTACTCAGACTGCTCCTATTTACTTTCTCTTATAATGCAAGAACAAGGTGTCATTCAATGAAACTGAAAGGCAACACATTTAAAACGGAAACAAAAATATTTTTCTATACAATGCATTAAAATTTGACCTCTGGAACTCATTGCCACAACTTTATCTCTAGCCAATATTTTATAGTGGCATTTGTATAGTGGGGTTGGGAAGGAATTTTCCCCCAGGTCAGATTGGCAATGGACCTTGGTGGTGGTGGTGGTGGGAGGTTGCCTTCTTCTGCAGTGTGGGGGATAGGTCACTTGCTAGAATCATTTGGGTTTATCTCACTTCATCAATTTCATGCCATTGCAGGAACCCAGGCATTGGTTCACCTCAGTTCTCCTTGTCCTATGCCTGAGGCACACAGTAGTTCAGTCTCCTGAGGGGTCGAATACTTTGATGTCATTCCAGTTGTTGAGTTTAGTGTGGAGGGTGGTTGGGAAGTGTTTAACTGCCTGAGATATGTAGGATGTCAGAGTAGATGATCTGGTGGTCCCTTCTGGCCTTACGCTTTATAACTCAATGGCCTAATTTTCCTCCCTTCTTCCCCATGATGATGCGTTCTCTCTCTCTTATCTCTGTCTCTCTTTCTGACCTTGCTATATGCAACTGTTGCTGTGAGAAAGCCAAGCACCAGAACTGAGTTTTATGTTTTATTGTGAAGATTGGAAGTTAGTGGCCATTCTGATCCCCTGTGGTAATAAAGCTTTAGGTACAGAGCCAAAACCTCTGCGACTAGGTCATCTTCTGCTCTCACAAGCTTCGCTCTTGAGACTGGATGCTTCATTGTTTCTGAAGAATGTGGTTGCTGAGGGAGATCAGGTTCATTGAGAAAGAAATATTCTCTTTGATATTTTGGGCCAAATCTGTGGAGGGCCTTGAAAATTAGGACCAAGACTTTGAATTTGACCCAGTATTCTCTGAGACTCTATTGTAGTGAACGGAGAAGCCGGATGATATATTTTTGCGGTACAACTGGAGACCCAAAGCTCAATAGGATTCAAAGGATTAAACTTCTATGAATAATGAGGACATCCACGTTAGTTTAGATGCAGTAAAAATTTATAAGGGATATAAACTCTCATGCGTCAAGGGATAAACCTGCTATTAAATAACTGTGGAACTACAAATAACTATTAGATGTATCTATAGAAATGTAGCCAGCACCCAGAATAGTACATAAAAGAAATAGCTAATAATTAGAGGCTATGGAAGTCAATGACAAATACGTTTACATGAATGAATTTTGCAGAGTAGATATTTCAGGAACAAAAAAGCTTTTGTTTAGTAACAGTGAATTATCAAAGCTAAAAATTCTTTAGTCATGTGACAACATTTCACTATTTCAGTCCCAGGAGCAGCTACTGTACTTGCCACTTCTTGCTGGTATGTTAATTTAGTTTAGCCCTCTGGCCAAACCTACAAAAACCCAGAGGAAACAGGAAGTCCGAATGAAAATTCTTTCCTTGGGTTACAGCATTCCCTACAGGATCTCAGTCTTTGTCCATCCTGGAATTAAACCAGAGGCCAATAGAACAAAAGCTAACAAGTCTAAAAACCTTCACCTATAGTCTACCCCTAGATTATAGGCGGGACAGATAGCACCGCTTACTATTAAGGTTGCCCAACACATCCTATAATAAGACTCTGCTTTCAGCTGCTTATAACTTTACCAAACGTTAACTATTTGGGCTGAAATTTTTCATGTTGGGTATTTTTTCTGGAATTTGTCAGATAAAATGGTTTGGCTATTTGTGAAATTGAGGCTAGGGGAAAATATATTGTTCTGTCCATGCTAAAAAAACCTCTGGTGACCTTTTGTTGAGAAGCTGCAGTGCCCCCATGCTTTGGAACAGGGACTCAAATTTGGCAGGGGGTGACCTTTTGGTGCCTCAGTGCAAATTGGCCCAAATTTGGCCAAGTTATAATCCTTTGAAAAATAGCAGTTTACACATGCTCAGTAGAGACTTGGTAGCGCATCACAGCTAAGAATAGAATCCAAAGATTCTATTCACACTGATCATTCTCCAGTCCAGGGTTGAGTGTGACTTGGTAGGCCATGGCGGGGCAGTGGAACTGAGAGCAGGGAGACTGTCTCTCTTGCGCTTGCAATATTCCTCCTGGTGGGCCTAGGCAGCCTGGAGGAGGAAGCTTCCCCATTCAAATGTGGCGGGGACAAAAGCCACTTTTGGAAGGACGTGGGAAGTAGATTGGGACATGACTGGGACTAGAGGCTGGCAGAGGGTAAAGGGTGAGAGAGAAACAGGGTTTGGTAGCTGGCTTGGGGGAAGCTGGGACTGGCTGGACTTGGAGACTGGGACTGGGAGCCAAGATTAGCAGCTGGGACTGCCTGTGCAGGCAGACTGGGACTGG